CAGATCTTTCAGTTTATGTAGAGGTGGTTGGATTGGACAATGTTTAAGTCCCCCTTTCATCTCAGGATTACTGTACAAACACTGAGGTGCTTCAGAGTAGCTTTCTTTCTACTCAGTTTTTTTCAGTTTTTCTTTCCTATTTCCTATTCCTAACCAAATGGAGAAGAGCTAAGTTGGTAAAATATCCCATAATACTTCTTTATTTATGCATAAAAAAATTACCCCAAAACTTAACAACTTAAAATAACAAACATTCATTATCTCACATAGTTCTGAGGGTCAGGAATCCAGGAGTAGCTTAGCCAGGTGGTTCTGGCTGAGGGTGTCTCGTGGATACCGTTGTTGGCTGGGGCTGCAATCATCTGAAGGACCTGGAGATTCCACTTCCAAGCTCACTCATGTGGCTGTTGGTAGGAAGCCTCAATTTGTCACCACATGGGCCTCTCCATAGGCCTCTTTGCATAACACAGCTCTGGTTTCTTCAGAGCAATTAATGAGAGAAAGAGAGGGGGGCGGGTAGGAAGATAGAAAGAGAGAGGGAGAGAAGATGGAAGTCATGGATGTATTTTATGGCCTAACATTGGAAGTCAAATACCATTACTTCTATAATATTCTGCTATGGCAACCTGATAGAAACCTGACACAATGTAAATGTGAAGAGCAGGAGTTGAGGACCATTGGGGTCATCTCGGGGGCTGGCTCCCACATATTTCTTTGGCTTCTCAGCTAGAGAAACCAGCTGTTTGCATAGCCTGAGAAAGCTGAGGGTTAGGAAGACTCATTCCATCCTATCCATCTACTAAGCACTGGAGAAATGTCTACTAATAAAAGATTTGGTGATTATTTCTGAATTTATATTCTAAACATGGATTTCAACACTTAAAATTACAGTACTTAAATATTTAAAATTACAAATCTGTTCAAATTTGTTCTGTGAGACACTTAACCTACAAGTAAATATTAAGAGCATCAGAAGTTGTCAGGGCAATTATGGCGTGTGTTACAATCAAGCTACATACAAAAGGCCAAGGATACACAGATGGAGCTAAATTTACCTGGGGATTTAGAGAAGACTGCATGGAGGAGGTGACTTTGAGTTTTGTTTTAAAGGATTAATAAGATTTTGCAAGACTGACAAGGAGTCAAGCTAAAAGATATATATTAGGAAAAAATGCTGAGTTTCAGGAAGTTTCAGAAGACAACATACAAAATGATACTAATCTGTAAAGCTCAAACACCAGGAAAAACTTAAGTTTATTGAATCATACATATTTGATAAAAATACAAAAATGTAAGCAAGGCAATGAGAGATTCAAAACTCAAGTTAGTGATTACTGTAACTGAACCAAACTGGGTTCACTTACCTCGCACAACCAGGTATTGCAGAGAGAAAGATTTGTCGGGCGGCCAAAATAAGGAGACAGGAGTCAGAGGCAGATCTGTCCTCCAGAGCTGGGGGATAGAACAGGCTTTACTGTCACAGGTAATGAAGCATGATCTGATTGGATCTTTCGACAGGGTGATGCCAGGAGATGCTTTAACTGAATCCTGCCATGGAGCAATGCCAGGGGTCAATCCAATTAGATCCTGGATCCTGTCATGCAGTGTCTGCTTTTTAATTCAGCCCCTACTCCTTGGTCCTAGCACTTAGGTTCTGCCCATGATTTCACACTTGGTTCATCTGGGCTTGCTCAGGTTACAAGACATTCAACTTGGGGGTCCATGGCAACTGAAAAACAACTCACAATTTTGTTCCATAGAAAGTTAAATCAGATTGGTCTGATGTGGTTACGTTACCTTTGGAGGGAGTGGGGGAGCCAAAGTTGTGGGATAAGAGAAAAATCAGAGATAGGTTCAATAGTGCTGATGATATCCTAGTATTAGAGTAGGTTTTTAGAATTATAAATGTTAGAATTACTTAAACAACAATTTTTATGTGTGGAATATTATATAATCATTTTTTAACATTCAGGATATGTCAGCAGAGGGAATAGCATATGAAAATGCATGGAAGGGTGAAAGAGCATGGAATAAAATATAGACATAATTATGGCAGGGAAGTGATAAATAATCCATTATCTTTCATAATATACAGTTCAGTATTCTGAAATTGTATTGGAATACACAAAGGAAAGGAGATTGGAGATACAACTGAAAGCAACAAACTCAAAACTCAAAATCTTGCAAAGGAAGCAAGTACTATTTCTGTATCAAGAACCAAGAGGCTGATTTCTCCTTTGTTGCCTGCATGGTGATAAATTCAAGGCATATTACAATTGAGAATTTCGAATAATGTGAATTAATGATAAGTTACAAGAGCAGTTATTATTTTCATCATTAGGAAAGAGAGGTCTCATGCATTTTAATTGTCTAAAATTCATCATGTGCCAAAAACTTTTGTTCCTAGTGGAATTCAAATCACAGGGTGATACTTTATTTACAACTTACCCTTTTAAACTATTGTGAACTGCAAGTAAGGTTTAATTACATTATTGCCAATCATCTGAAGAATGGTAATTACTTAGAGCCCTTGGCCAGTATTTCTGATTAAAAGTGCTGTGGCATACTCAAAAGGTCACAAGTTCATATCCCAATACTATTAATTGTCTTCTAGAACCTATACTCCTTAAGCAAGGAGTGACTCCGCCATCGGAAATGATGCTTAAGAAAAAATTGAATGATCGGAAGAAAACAAATACATGGAATGAAATAAGTGGCTTTGGCTGTTAAGACCTTTTTGCTCTTAGATCTGTGTTGTTATTGTCTTTTTCTATTTCTCTTACTAGCCAAAAAAGAAAAAAAAATTGTGACCAATAGATTATTTTCTTGTGAGAGATTTGAAGTAATTTTAATAATTCAGCTAGGCTACCAGCCAAAAGTTTAGCAGATGACTGAAAACAATATTTCTACATGTTTATCTACGAACAGATTTTAGGGTCCTTCTTTTCTAGTGAAGGGTATCTGATACATAAGGAGGGAGGCGATGAACTTTGCATTTTTTTTTCTTTTGAAGAATAAAAACAAGACATAATCCCTGTATGTCCACATTGGGACTTTCTGACCAAGAAATTGTATCAGTTTTGCCAAAAGAAGACCAAGAGGTTCTAAAGTGATTTTCTGAATCAGCCCTGTCTTCTTGCTGAGCTCAGTTGTGACTGGCTTTTCATGGTAAACATAAATGCCAACTCTTGAGTCTCCTGCTTTTTGTTTAACTGCCTTGATTTTCGTTGGTTCTTTTTCTGCTTGATAGATCTTTGTTTTGCCATTAGATCTGCTCTTAATGAAGATTTCCTTTTGCCTGTAATCGAGTGATAGCACATTCCAACCAAGGTTTACTCATATTTTCTAGACATGGACATGCTCAGCAGCTGACCTTCTACCCCTTATACCATGTTCTTTGGGGTAGTGATAAGCCTCATTGGTATCAGATTTGTATCTTAGCAAAGGTATGTCTGATTTGAAACCTCACAGGCACTCACTTTAGAGTTAGAGTTAGATGTTCTGTATCTAAAAATGACTGCAGCTTCTTTTCCTTCCTTTCTTTCTCTCATCTGTGAGTATCTTCTGAGACACAATGCTTAGAATTCTTCTCCCTAAATTACATACTTGCAAATGCTGGCATAGTTCCCACATTTCTTGGTGCACAACTTCCTCCTTCCTTCTGTTTTGTTTTGGTTTTTTTCCGCTCCTCCTGTAACTGTAATAGGCTCCCTAGATGACACCCATTAACCATGTTTCATTAATTTTTTTACTGGGATAGGCCCCTGGAATTATTGTTCCAGTGGTTCATTTTTGATATGCTAATGTCATATACAGAATCAGCCTGATGATTTCATTCCTCTATGACAGACTACTCTGGAGGGGGAAAAAATTTCAGTCGTTCACATGGCTTTGGGATCCAAAAATATTCCTCGCAAGAGAATTATTACAGTATATTATAAAAAAGGTTGAAAAGGAGTTTTCTTAAAAATGATACTCGTTGAAATTATGTGCATCGCTAGCAAGTCATCCATGTGAATTTTACACTTTGTGTTTAATCATGTTAAACTTTTCACTTAGAAACATAACTCATAGAAATACAATAGCCCCAACTATTTGATACCCATATGGTCCAACTAAATTTTTAGAATTAACGCATATAGATACAGGACAACCTCTTTTCTTCACGGTGAGTACAGTTATGATAATCCAGGAGTGGACAGCATGTAGAGGTCGTGAGTAGGGGGGTGATTGCACAAAGTCACATCAACTATCACTGCAGGGTTTTTACTAAATAGACTTCACTGGTCAAGTTTACCACAGGTGGGAATTTTCAGTAAGAAACAACAGCTCTAAGGTAAATATATGAATTGATTTGAATTGGTATTTATAGGGCTAGGACTGGAATTCCAGTTAATATGACTATTAGCTGATGTCTTTCATTTTATACTACCGTATTCCTATATTCTCAGCTAGCAAGAAATTAAAGCTTGAATCTAGGAGTCATAATACCTTGAGTTCCCATCACAGCTCTGTAAATACGAAGGTCTGCTGTTCTTGACAAGACTTGTCACCTTTGTGCCTTCATGTACTCATCTGTATAAAAGTAAGGATGGTATCCGCCCTATGTTTTTCACTGAGTTGTTAGAATTCTATTAAATGTGAAGCTTACAAGAGTGAGATATTGTATATTATATGCTTTATAATTGGGAGGATATTTTAACAGCAGTAGTATCAGTTTCTGATGACGAGACTTTTTCTTCAACTTTTATTCTTTGTTCTTCCCTTCTAGTTTCTAAACTTCTGACTTCATCATCACCACCTCCTCCCCCCACCCCTTTTTAAAAGAAGGATATTGGACTTTGCCAGTAGGAAAGCCAAATGATAAAATCATACTGACAGTTGAAGTAAAGAATTCCTACTATTTTTCTTGGGTGAAATTTTGATAACACGAAATTGTCCTTTTCAATTCTGTATTTGGATATTAATTACAATAACTTCTTTTTTTCTCATTGACACAGGAAATGACTTATTTCTTGTAGCAGTTCACGAACTGGGACATGCTCTGGGATTGGAGCATTCCAATGACCCCACTGCCATCATGGCTCCATTTTACCAGTACATGGAAACGGACAACTTCAAACTACCTAATGATGATTTGCAGGGCATCCAGAAGATATATGGTAGGTTACCACTGTTGCTGTTTGCTTAATCCTACAATGAGGTCCAGGATCCCTACTATGTTTTCTTCTTTAAGATAGATGCTCTAAATAGATAAGACAGAGATAAAAATTGAAGAAGAACATAAGGTGCTGAGACTTTGGTACAAACTGATAGATTGACTCACAGTTTGTGAGATTTGATTATCAGACAGTTCCTAGACAAAGCACTTCTGAAGATCCAGAAAATACCTTTATGTGACAGATATAACAAATTGACCCCAAAGTCCTATAATTACTGACTCAGAGTGAAAGTTAACAAACAAGGGAGTGAAAATTAACAAGTGGTTAAGTTTAATTAATACAGCATAAAATAAATTTCTAGTATAGTAATATCATTTTTATTTATGGGGTTCAGTCAATGAATGCACATTAAGAGAAAAAAGGAAAGACTATTATGCATGTTTACTATAATCCTAACTCCCTCAATACAACCATTGACCTTTATGAAGACATTTATTTCACACATAATTGTTAAGAACTTGACATTTATAATTTACATGTAGCAAATATGCTTTACTAAATTAATGAAGTGAAGCTTTTATTTTTACAGTGCAAAGACAAATGTGTGCTATCTGTATGTTAATATCTACTATCCAGAAGATATCATTTGCATTTTTAAACAGCATAGTTTAAGTTCACTAATTTGTTTTGCATTCATTAGTTTTTCAATTTCAATATCTCAGTGGTAACCATTCTCTCAGGGTTAAAATAGATTGGAAAAAAAGGTCAACTTTTATGCTTCTCTTTATTTTGTTGGGATACCAAAAGAGAGAAATGTCTCAGACTCAAAGCTAAATATCTCATGTCCTGAATTGAGCTATGCTATGCCTAAGTGTGTCTCATCAGAAATTCCTCTTAAGTGGTTAACTGAAAGAAGTCTCTTTCTCATGACCTCATGAATTAGTAGTCTAGACTGAAGCCCTGCAAAGGAATATTCTTCTCATACCTAAATATTAAGTGTGAACAGCTCTGTATTTCTTTTTAAAGACATAAATCCCTTGAGAAATGATGCTTAACATCTGTACCAAATTACATGTGTAAACTTTGGCTTGATTTAGAAACCTCTTTTGAGAAATACTTCTTCACATTAATATTTTACTGGTGCTGCTTTAATCAATAGGTGTTTTAGATTCAGTATTTAAATGCAAC